GCAAATAAACATCGACTTGGTCCATTAATTGCCTTCTGGTATTCGGCTTCTCGGGGATTTTATGGAGTCATTTGGAACGAGCTTCTTACGCCTTCTGATTCGCTTGGCACGTGTCTCCTGGTAGCGGTGTTCACAGTTAATCTCAACTCGACGCCACGCTACAGGGTCTTCATTTTCTTTTGTGGCATGATAAGAAAGTGACGTATAGCAAGTGGATTGAACAGAATGTTGGAAATACAAAGGGGTGAAAAAAATCAATTCCGAGGGCTCAAGTTAGTCTAAAAATCAAAATCTATGTTTTAACCAAGGGTCAATGTATCGTGAGGATTAGTGGTGTTAAAAACAGATGACAATGGCAGGAAGATAGTAGTGGAGATGAAGTATTTATGTCAGTATCTGTGTGGAGGCAAGATAGAATATAAAGGAGCAAGTTGTATAAATTTTAACACATATGACATGAAAGATAGCCTTATATGGTAAAGTAATTTAGAAATGTCAATAATTAGTAACAAACAATCAAAAAAGTACGGTACGTGATACATATATAAACTGAAAGTCCGTATTAGTAAAAATTGGGAGGTGCAGAGACAAGTAGTTTAGAAGATTATTACCGTCTAAGATTATTATGTTGCTTCTTGAACAAATATATGAAACAGCTTTTTTGAAAAAAAAATACTGTCAAAAAAAAACTATGACAGACTTACCGAGTTGGACAGGTAGCTTCGAAAATTAAATGATTTATAGTATCCAAATACGATTTAAATGATAGTTCATAAAATAGTGAATACAGTCCTTTAACATACACGGTTATATATATTTCTTGATATTAGGTAGAGGTTTGAATAGATCCTGTAGATACATAAAGTACGTGGGTTAAAGTATTCAAATACGATATAACCATATATTCATTAAGAAATAGAATACAGATATGAAATACAACTCTTCGTCAAATATGATTATATATGGTTTCAAAGTGCCAGAGTATAGTTTGATCGTATAGTCAAAATGAATATATGTAATTAGATTATTATAAATTATTGTATGAATATGGTCATAAATACCGTAAGTTAAACTCAGAACTTATCGTATGGCATGAAATTCACAGTTTATATGTTAATATTCAAGAATAGAGTTAACTTCTATAATTCCAAGAAAAAATAATTCATCCAGCTCTGCGAGAATCCTAGAAAAATAAAACTAAAAACCTCGGCCTGAAAGTAACGTCCAGTCCGTAGCGCGCGCGTGGATAGCACTCCGGTAATGTACCACGGCTTAGTGAGTGTGGGAACAGCACTCTAAGCGGTGTTTTCAAGATTGAAGCTGATTCCTCCAGTATAGCTGAATGAACCATATATGGACCAGGAGAAGTGCCTTGTTCTAGATGCTGCAGCTTCCGGTTCACCTATGAAAGTCCCGTAGAGTTGTGGGTGAAGCTTTTATCGATATGGTTAGTGTGGGTCGGTTGAAGTGTTCAAGAGTACTGTTTAGCCAGAAGGTAAGCGGCCTCACTGTCGTTCTTAGTCGGGATATTAGGACCTAGCAGTTGGAGAACCCCAGTTTTGGAATGTCGAGAAGAAAGACACTATATGCTGGCGAGTACTGTAAGAAAATTAGTCTAGGCGTTTGACCCACACTCCACGAACTATATGGGAAACCACTTTTTAATGGAACGAAGAAGAGGTTGACCGTTTTAAAACTAGCTTTCCGCACAGCACGCTTCCCGAATCTGATATAACCTCGGTGACCTCTTACCGTTAACTGAAAATATCCAGTTTTCATTCCAGATTGGAATATTTGTTCACCCGTAAGAATAGAAGCTGTGTCTTCGCTTACTGATAAACAACCACAATTACAAGTCTGACATAATCATCTCATGTTAAAGCACTGTATAATAGGTTTGGCAATCTCTATCAACTGCTATCTTCCTAATTGCTTCAGCTGCAACACACACATACTAATTCACTTGTAAACACAGGACTTATAAAGAAGTTACAGGATCTCGAATTTGTTTGCCAGGACAGTTCAAGGTAAGGTTGCAAGTTTGAGTATCATTGAGGTTCAATTCTCTTATAGCCCCTACTCACTATTTTTCAGTTTGGAAATTTACGCTGCGCGTGTTTCTAACTTAGGTTGCTTCAAATTTAATATTTTTTTAATATCCATAACAATAAAGTTGAAAAGGGCTCCATCGAAAGATCCCACCGCCAAATGAAAAGCTCGCTGATGTTTACGGCTGATGTGGTAAAAGCAAATGACACCTTACCACTTACCCCTCCCTGAGATTCATTCCAGCATCAAAGATGTCGGCTGCACATTAGCTGGGCTAATCTACTTCACAACTCTGGTCTTACCATGGCAACTGGTCAACCTTGGTGATAAAATACAGATCGATCCAGCACGTTTTTTAAGTTGTTTATTGCAGATCATCGGCCATATTAAAGTAACACCAACATGTGAAAATAGTCGCTAGGCACAGTTGGATATACATTCACAAACGTGCAATTTCATTTTTGTCGTTGTCAATGCAGTTAGGAGACCACTGAATTAACTGTATGAAGGAACTTACTGAGTCATTGAACGATCAGCAAAATATTCCACCATTTATAAAAACGGAAAGAGGATAGTTATCTTTATAGACAGAGCAAAATCTGCTTTCTAAAACGTCCAACATGAGCAGGCAAATATTATTTTAGACAAACAACCTCAATTGCTCATTACATCTGGTTAGGGGAACAACCAAATAGTATTCATACATTCTCAAAATGTCCGGACGGGCAATCAGTAAACCTGCACATTATGTACATTTTGCGCATCAACATCAATTAAAGATGATAACTGAAAAAAATCGACTCGCTTGGTTAGTTTTATACCAGTGTGACCTCCAGACAATCTGGGTGGAGATATGTGGAGAAATTTGACACAAATCCATTTTGTAACATTTGCTATCATTGAAATTTTTGCATAGTCTCATGTACTTTTTATGATTCATTGTATACATCCATATTTACCAACTGTCCTTAGGCTTTTTGCAATATCTATAAGTATTTTGGTATAATTACATCTGTTCTGCCACATGTTTCACTGATAACGGCTGTGTCAATAACCATCGGTGTACTTATTACTTTTAATACGGACACAACAAGACATGTAAGCATGGGAATCCCAGTCTGATTTAATTACCGATGAAGCTACCAATTGTTACATGTGCCTCAGCTGCTATTGACAGCAAGGAGGGAAAATGGCAACAGAATCGGAAGCACAAACCTCGAACGAAACTCCCAATTTTTATTCAAAATCCCAGTGTCCGATCATAGATTACTAGAAAGCAGGGCAGTCTTTGACAGCAAACGCAGTGGCGAGGACTGAACAGTACTTAGAATTGTTAACATTCTAGCAAGAAAGTCCTTCACGTATAGGGGTCAGAATCAGGTGAAACGTAATCTCCGTCTCTAAGAGTAGTCTTAGACTTAGCACACGTTACGGGAGAAAATTACTGACAAATCCAAGATCATTAGTCAAACGGTCCACTCCAGTTACGGTCACGCACGACAAATCGCGAGCCGTGAGAGATGCCGTTGGAACCCCCGAGGTACTCGCCTGTGATCGGAGGTGGTGGCTCGAGTGAAGCTCATAGTAGTGCTACGCAACAATGCCATAGGTTTTAACGGAACCTAGGACTTCGTAGACGCCCAACTTCCAGATAGGCAGGCTGGATTCCGTAAGGATCAATCGTGTACTGACCGAATCTCAACACTACGGATAATTGTGGAACAATTAATTGAATGGAATTCTCCACTCTACATCAACTCCATTGACTACGAGAAAGCATTTGATAGCATGGACAAGACAACGCTATGGAGGCTTCCTTAAAAATATGGTGTGCCTGAGAAGATAGTCAACAACATACGGAATCCTCACGATGGATTAAACTTCGAAACTGTGTATGGAGGACAACTGACATACTCGTTCGAAGTAATGACCGGTATCAGGCAAGGTTACTTACTCCCACTCTTTCTCTTTCTCATGGCGATTGGCGAGATCATGAAACCGTCAACATCTTGGGGCGGGAAGCATGGGGTACACTGGACAGCTAAGATTCAGCTGGACGATGTAGACTTTGCAGATGATCTGGCTCGTCTATTGCACACGCAACAATCAGTACAGGAGATGACCAGGGTAGCAGCAGGCCTCAACATACACAAAGGGCAAAGCAAGATTCGCCGATACAACACAGCATGCACCTATCCGATCACACTTAACAGAAAAGCTCAGGAAGATGTAAAAATCTTTACATATCTGGGCAGCATCATTGACGAACGTGGTGGACCTGATGCAGACGTGAAGGCGTAGATTGGCAAAGTATGAGAAGCACGTCTACAAATGAAGCACATCTAGAACTAAAAATATCTGTCAACCAACACCAAAGTCAGAATTTTCAATACAAGTGTCAAAACAGTTCTACTGTATGAGCCGCAAACTTGAAGAACTCCGAAAGCCATCATCCAGAAGATACAAGTGTTTATTAACAGTTGTCTGCGAAAACTACTTCGGATTCGTTGGTCAGACAATATCAGCAACAATCTACCGTGGAAGAGAACAAACCAGATCATACTGGACGAGGAAATCAGGAAGAAGAGCTGGAAGTGGATAGGACACACATTGAGGAAAGCACCAAACTGCATCACAAGACAAACCTGCATTTGGAATCCTCTATACCGAAGGAAAAGAGGAGCACCAAAGAACACATTACGCTAAGAAATGAAAACAGACATGAGAAGAATGAACAACAATTGTGTAGATGTAGAGGAGAAGGTTCAGAGAATGAATAACCAAGTTTTTAAAAAGTTGGATTAATTTTGACTTGGTCATTTATTCTCTGAAGAAGTGGCTTGTACTAGGTCACGAAACGTCAAAAATACTATTTCCCTAACCATTGGGATATTATAAATATATCATTTCTTTATTTATAGTGCTTCAGTGTATTTATTTCGAAATGAAGGTCGCTATGAAATGAATAACGACGACGTAATATGGCACACTATCAACCATTCATTCTGTTCTTTTGTTGTCAAAACTAAAACAGGAAGGTTTTGCAGAAATGATGACAATGTGACAGGATTGTGTAATCGACATTCTTGCCCATTAGCCAACTCACAGTATGCCACTATAAAAGAAAGAGATGGTATCATCTACCTGTATGTCAAGGAACCTGAACGTATACCTTATCCTGGTAAACAGTGGGAGCGGATTAAATTGCGCCGGAATAAAGAACAAGCTCTGAAACAAATCAAAGAGCACTTAATATATTGGGATAAATGGATAATAAGTCGTGTTAAGCAGAGATTCTTTCGCACAAGAGAATATCTTAAAAATATGCGGCGTTTGGCCTTATCAAGACAAAAGAAATTAGAACCTATTAATCGTACGGTTAAAAAACGTGAATTAAGGAGAGAAGCAAAAGCATTACGTGTACCACGCATTGAACGTACTGTAGAACAAGAACTCTTAGAAAGATTACGCGCATCAACATCTTCCAAGGAAATATATAACATAGATCAATCTGCCTTTGAAAAGGCTCTGGAAGCTGAAGAAATAAATGAAGAAGAATCTGATGAAGAATACGAGGAAGAAGAAGGAGAAATCGCCTATACTTCAGGATCTGACGTTGAGGATATTGAAGATATCGGAGTGATCGATGAGGAAAATGAAGAAGAGGAAGCTGAACATAATCTTGTTCTGACAAATCCTAAAAAGAAGCGTAAAGTTACCATTCACTATGAAAAAGATGAATGAACAATTATCCCATTTTTACTGTATATATCTTGTATATTTAAGTGAAATAGACTGTAAGTAGCTTTTTAACTATACGAAAATTGGAACCGTTTGAATCCATTTGCTCAACAAAAAAAATAATAAGCTAAGAAAGTATGACTTTCAGGTATTTGGTTGTATTTGTACTAGTTGTATTTTGCTATTTAACAACTGACCATACTGGTGTAGTGATGATAACCATGCGATAGTCTAGTATCATTGTTTTGTGTTATTGGTCACTTCTCGTTCTATTAATAGAATAAACGAGACTAGTAGTGAACAGAGCAAGTGAATGATTACTTAGGCTATAGTGTTGTGAAATTTACTTAGATGTTTGCGGTTAACTCTTAACTTGTTGTAACTGCTAAGAAACTTGAAAATAGCTGTCTAAACCAGACAGTGTCACAATCTTGCCACCTATTCACCCATATGCTTTTGAGCAACTGATTGAAGTGTCATGAACCCATCGTACATATTTGGATTTGAGTAGATAACATCATAGGAAAACACGTATGATATAGGTATATATAAATAACAGTAATTGTATTTGTAAACTATCATAAAACTTATGACAATTATTTTCACGACCATGTGATAAAGTCGGGAATAATATACGCATCAAATACTTGGTTATTTCTTCGTTATTGAACAGAACAGATAGATCGACAATTTTTGGAAATCCTAACCCCAAGTGCTAAATACCTAAAAACAAAGCTCAGCTTATTGGGTTTGTAGTTATCTTCGATAAAAACATGCAACTGTATTCCAACGAACCGAACTGTTGTAATTTTCTAGAAGTAGTTTTGTCATCTTAATCATGGTGAATATGCCACAGGCATTCGGAGTTTGACAAAGCTTTAACCAGTAACACCTTCTAGTATGAATCGTACCCACCAAGTGAAATCGAAATACAGAAGTTAGGAAGTTCAAAGATATATTTGATATGCTATCAATATATCGAGGATCGACTGATCGAATCTGGCCAGCGATTGCAGGGGTTGTCGAGCACGCGTTGCCACCCGTGACCTGGTGCGGATGCATGACCGAGCTCCTTCAGTTAGGTGAGTCTACTAAAACTAATGTGGTCAGCATAAAATGTCGAAAACTTACAAAGCTATTCATTTTGGGGATTTATTTACCGCTACAGATCACTTCCCCCTAGTGAGGCAGTGATGACCCTAAAACGCGGTCAGCCAGAAGTTTAAACCCAACGACTTTGTCATTGGTAAACACTCTCCTGATAGCTTGCTATGCTTAGCAGCGTCTGGTCTTCATTCCTTACTATAAGGGACCATGAAGTACAAATATGGCGAAAAAAATAATATACAATGAAAATTTTGGTTCCTCATAAACCTCATCGTCCTTTTTACAGTCTTTTTCAGCCATCCTGGAAAAGAAAAAAAGATGTAAGTGCATATCGAGACAAACTCGTACGCGCTTTAAGACACTAATTGGGCGAAAAAAGAAAATAAACTCATGTACATGTGAAAGCCTAAAAGCGATTTTTACAAAATGTTTTTTGTTTGTTTGTTTGAAAAAATTGTTTAATATACATAATAATAAATATGAGCAAATAAAAATTGATTTTTTCTATATTATATATATATAATGCCATGGGAAATAGAGATGAAGCAAAATGTTAACATGTATTTTAGGAAGTCTAGTGAGTCAGTTCCGATTTGGCATTTCTGAATGTTTACAGTAATGTCATGGTTTCGTAGTCGGTCGAAAAGAAGATCCAGATGCTTGAGATGCGATTCTCTGTCCGGACTTACTATTAGACAGTCGTCAACATACGCATGTACGAAGTTGAGACCTCGAAAAACGTCTATGAACTTTTGGAAGGATTGTATAGCGTTTCTTAGACCGAAAGGCATTCGCGAAAATTCGTAGTGTCCAAGGGGAGTTATGATAGCTGTTTTCGGAATGTCGTTAGTAACCATAGGGATTTGGTTATATGCTTTAACCAAGTCGATTTTCGCGGAGACAGTTGTGCCTTTCAAGTTGGCTATCAAATCGTGAATGTGAGGCAACGGGTATCAATCGGGAATGGTTTTCGCATTCACTTGCCGATAGTCACCAGTTGGACGCCAATCGTTGCTGTCTGTTTTAGGGACCATGTGCAACGGAGATGCCCATGGGCTGTTTGACGGTTTTATGGTACCCAAGTCTGTCATGTGGTTAAATTCGTTTTTGGACAACCTTAGCTTTTCGGGAGCCATTCGGTGTGCTTTCGGTAATACAGGCGGTCCTGTAGCACAGCTTACACCTGCTGAGGTAGTTTGAATAAGAAAAGTTGTTTGAACAGGCCATCATCGAACGTTCTTTGGCCGATAACCTCTTTCATCCTTTGCAAAATGTCTGTCGCAGAACAGTGTTGCAGGTCGATGTTATTAAGAAGTTGGTCTAACCTTTGTCTATCGGTTAGGTCTCCGCGTTTAAGTATAGATCGTTCCAGTGTTTCGTATGGTTCAGGAACATCACTAGTAAGCGTACTAGGTGTAACGTACCTGTTGAATTCGCGCGGTAGTGCATTAACTACTGCGAGGAATTGTGCATGTGTGTCGTTCATGCCGTGCTCGTAGTAGTCGGCTTCTACGTAGCAGAACCAGGCTTTGATGCTGTCTGGCCAGAAGGGCAGTAGTTGGGACGAAGGTGTTTACATAGTCTTTAAATTAAGTACCTTGGCTGTCTGTTCAGTCATGGTGAAATATCAAGTACGAGAATGAACGAGAAAAAAAGATCCCAAACTCGAAAAAAATATCACAAAATATGAAAAATTAAAATAAAGCAATAATATAAAAAATTCCAAAAAGGAACAGACTCACAGTTTACAATTTGGTGTACCAGATCACGTCGGGCTCACCAATGTAGATCACCAAGTTGGATGATATATGTCGAATGATCGGATGCTTTCTCGAGTTAAACGGGAGTGGCGTGACGAACCAGCTAACGTCGAAGTCACACCTCGTGGTCAGCACCTTACGTGGACTATCCTATTGACGCATAAATGTACCATAGATGCCTTGAAGACTGTACAACACAGAGGACGTTATTACAGAAATATATTAGTTAAAGTAGATACACGCGAAAGTAAGACCACTGCAGCATGGGCCAGTCCATGGCGTACGATTAACTGATGCGCGTTGGTTGTCTTCGACCTTGACGACGATCGATGATTTGTTCAATAATCAGTGACCCAGCTGCAGGATGATTTGGCTAGGGCTCAGTTGGATTTCACTGGCCCTACAACGGCAACATGACATAGTAGGCAGAAACCGAAGGATGGAGACCCGATGTAACTGCCATCATGGAGCAAGACGTCGAATGATCAAAAACAGCCAGAAAGTCGTCCTTTATCTACAATACTCGCCTTCACAGTAGACCAGTGGACGCATACATAAGAGACGGGGGAGTGTAATGTATGTGTTGGAAATTGAAGGTCGAAAGCAGATACGCATTACAACGATAAACTGAAAACGCTGACACTTTACAGAGAACATAAAACCCGAGCTCAGTTCTGGAAATTCTCTTAGACAGTCTCGATATAGGAAGTTCTGTAAGTTAGAAGACTGTAGAACGAGAAAAGAATCCTGTATGAATATTATTGCAGAAAAGCAGGAGACCGGATTTCCACCAGATTAGCCCGAAAGGCAGGGCATACAGCGTTCCTAAGTGATCTATCAATGATGATATTATAGCCACTGCTTCTTACAAATGACTAATCATATTTTCGCTTTTTGTCTGTTTCACTTAACAAATTAGTCACGTTTCACGAGGATCACACCGTCAGTTAGTTTTCGCTTCTTATGCACTGAGAAAAATGGTAGTTATAAGATTTTTCTAATGGGGATAGATGATATGAACAGAGAAATAAAGAAGCCATAACAAACAGCAGATGCTACTTTTTGGGACACTATTCCACTTAATCCAAAGTTTGTAAAGTACTAACACTTGGGTTTGCCCCCAGGTTACTCAGGAAACCATAAGATTTCGTTTGATGTGTGATTCACTGCCATATCTTTTTCTGATCCAAACCTACTGTACTTCAAATGAAATCTCCTAAAATGTAATTTTCTACTTCAATGACCAGTTTAGACAGGTTTGTATTCATAGTTTTTTGTGTGTGGTGGTCATGTTAGCCTCTATTTATTCACGTATCTTCTTACACTAATCTGATTTAAGTATTGGTAATCGTGGACCAGGTTTAAATCGAGTAGTTTCCCAGTTGACTTATCTTCACTTTCTCGCTTGTCAACCAATTACGTGACATAGTAATTTCCGTTTCTGTGCCCGAGGCCATTGGTCTTGGCTCAGACTCACGTATTTCTAGTCTTGAGATTAAACTCGCTGTCCTGTTATGCCAAGACCCTAATCTAAATCGAGACAAGTTCTCTCCTATATATTATTGAGCAGACAGATTAAGATCCTTACAGTGCTCAGTGAGAATTTTCAGCACATCGGAATATCTAGTTGAAAACATCTATCAGAAGACTACTGCTCACACGGGGTTCGACAATCATATTATGGATGGATTATCCCGCTCTTTTCGTCTCTGACACACCCATATCTAGAATCTAGGAGACTTTTGTCGTCCCAAGTCAACTTCTTTGAACACATATATATATTAGAGGCGATAACTTTACTGAAGCTCGGTTCTTCAGCCTTACTGAAGATTTGGGGTTATTCGGAAATGTGAAGTTGGCAATTTGGTGGAAAAACAGTCAGACGACATCACGATCAGTTTGCATATTCACAAACGGAGAATTCCTAATTTACTACCTCTAACTAACGACCGCACTAGAACCAAGTGATCAACCCGTCATAATCTTGAATTTTATCATTGGGAGTGAGCCAAAACACCCTACTAATAACAGGCGGTGGAATTTTGAACGGTTGGATATCCTAAATATACAGGGAAATCTACAAAAGGCGGACTGAGAAATTGACATTTAACTTGACGTGAACGCTCATTGGAATTTATTACTTCACACAATCTTACGTGCTACAAACCAGCCTAAACCTCACATAGCCCCCAAAAATTACGAGCAAAGTAAGGTCATAAGAAATTTCACTCTTTGAATGAAGAGACACAAAAAGAACCACTTTGCTGATTACAAATGAAATAGTGACAACGGCACGTAGAGGCAGCCAAATAAGCAAGTAGCCATTGCACAAAGGTGATAAAAGAAGATGGGATTCAGTATCAGATAACGCTAATCGACAAATTTATCTGCAATGCGAAAAGCTCGTTTTGTTATGCAACATACCTTTGACTAGCCAAAATTGGAGTTTCCCAGATGTTAGGTCATAATGGCCCAAACAGTAATGAGGCTGATGCTGTCAACCTTCTGACAGAATATTTTTCTCAAATAATCCAACCTTCACATGCAAATTACATTGATGAGAACTCCACGGGACTCTCATAAGTGAACCCAAGCTCTGACTTGATGTATTAGAAACCGTAACATCTACACTAGGACCATTCTTTTGGCCTGGATAAGTTTCATGCTGCTACGCTGAGAGGAGCTGCTGTAAGCTGGGCAACACTATCTAGTGTGGTATTACCGCACTGGTTAAGCCATACTGTACTCCCAGAAAGTTAGAAGCTGATGTACATTATACCGATTTTCAGAAACCTTCAAGCTGCTGCCCGGTAGCACTCCTCTCAATACCCTCAAAAACTATGATGTCCTTGATACTTGGAGGTCTACGTAACTGTTTATTATACATAAATTTCTCTTCACCCTAACAACACGGTTTCAAGTAGGATTACTGTGGTATTTCGAATTATTTGAATTGTAGTATGAACTAAGAACCCCCGAAATAACGCAATTGAATCAAGAAGTACTAGGTGAGCACAAATGAATGTATTGTATTTAGAATTCGGAATCGAGCAATCAACAAGTACAAAAGAATCATTAGTTAATTCAAACACCACATCCGCCACAGCTTAAATAGGAGTATAAGTGTCTGTAATCGATTGTACGTCTTCTTATTAAGTTCATCCTGAGTCTGTCCGACATTGTATTGGATAAGAACTATGTATTATCTTGAATACACTCATTAGTATTAGAATTAACAACTGAAATAGGAACAGACTCACCTGGGTCCTGAAATTGTATACAATCAGCATGTCGATTTTGTAATGAAATCATTAATATCTAGAATTCGAACCATATATTTTTCAACACTATCCTCCCCCACGAAATAATGTTGGATCTTTATATCCCCAAGTTATGCATGATGTGGCTTCATTTAAAACATATTTCTTACATTGATTAGAGTATACATTGGAAGTGGATTTGTGATAAGGATGAACAGCAGTTGGTATGAAATCATCGGAATTGTAATCAAAATCGAGGTCATTTAGTACTTGTGCTTCGCATTGAACAAGTTTCCCACAAGAAACAAATGCATTATGAGGACAAATAATATTTGTCATGACATCAAGTTTTGATTCTTCTGAAATAGCTTCCTCAAATTTATTAAGAATGTCATTGCAGAGCAAAGGATCATTAGAAATGTCAGCATCCATCAAAACTACATCAGGTTTTTGATCATAATTATGTTCACTCAACATATTTTCTTCAGATCTGCAAGGAATTTCATCAGAAATATGTGAATCATTAGAAAAAGCCATACCTGGTACAATAGCATGAGAATTCTGGCAAATTGATTGGTTAGAGACCGTTGTCTCACAAGGATTCTGAGTTTCATTTAACTCCGAACTGCTATATGACTCTGCACTGTCTTTTGAAATCGATGATAAAGATAAATGATCATTAGGAATACTCGACTCAATAGCATCAGAATTACCAGACTTAATATTAGTTGCAATAAGATGAACATTAGTATTACAGACTGACTGAATATGTCCAATATCACCACATTTAAAGCACTTAGAATTACGAAATTTACATGAATTAAAAGAGTGGTATATGCCACAGGACAAACACTGACCAAACTTGTGCCCATCTTCGTGAAATGCATTGCAACTCCTCAATGAATTATCTGCATAGCATTGAGTATGCACTGGGTTGGAATGACGTAGTAATGTAGTGGAATTTTTTACATCCTCATGAATCACTTTACAAAATCTTCCTTTATTGCGTTCGAAATTTGTATACTCAACATAGTCTAGCAGCAGTTCCTTGAGAGTTGTATAAAGAAGCGAGATAGGCTTTCCCGGCATAGCCAGTGTTTTTAATAAGCTGTATGCTTCTTTTCCGATGAATGTGAGGAAATGTGCCACAATATTAACATCCTCATCATCTTTCTTGGTCATATCCCAGATTTCGAACCCTTCAAAATAATCCTCAACAGCACCAAAATCTGAATGTATATCCAACAGTTTCATCACAGGCTCCATCGCGACGCCAATTTAATGTTTCGAATTATTTGAATTGTAGTACGAACTATGAACCCCCGAAATAACGCAATTGAATCAAGAAGTACTAGACAAGCACGAACGAATGAATTGTATTTAGAATTCGAAATCGAGCAATCAACAAGTACAAAAGAATAATTAGTTAATTCAAACACCACAATTACTCTTGTATAACCAACCTGCTGACAGCGATAGACGAACATCCTTGATTGCAAGGTGAAAATTGATGTCGAATGCCTCGGCTTTCCAAAAAATTTCAATAGTTTTAGTGAGTGATGTCTCATCAATAAGTTCAAACTGTTAGATATCGAGTCATCGTCCACTGATTCGCTGAATTCATATCTAACTAAACGACCTTTTAAGGTCAGGGTAAACTTCATTTCTTCGCAAGCTACAGAGTGTCTTAGTGGACCTCATTTTCCCTAACGTAAATGACCTTCTTGAACACTTTTGGATGGCCTATTATTATTTATTGTGTATTTGGAACCCTGAAGATAAGTTTGTAACCCACACGATAAGCTGGCAATTCAGAGGAGTTTGGACTTCAAAATCGGGAGGATAACAACGGACTTCTAACACTTCGATGTGTATCTAAACGTGTCCTTGTACGGATGCTTGACCGAAGCCCTTCAGCTAGAGGTTTGTCTAGTGAAACCGATGAGTCCAGCTTCAATGTCGAAGATTTAGAACTATTTATTTTGGGGAGTTATTTACCTCTCCAGACTAACCACTTTAAAAACCTGTCACCAACATCACTTTCAATAATTGTTGTTTTACATCAACAATCAATGGAGTAGAAACTGCATTTCATTTATAAATGAACTGAAAAAATTTTCTCATTATTATACCGGTACGTCTCATAACATCTATTACTCATATGTTGACGAAATAAATCACAACAAATGAGTCAGGACTACTTTTAGCTACCAAATGAGTACATCCATTTTTAAAGCGAGTTATCTCTATAGACAGTCCTTACCTCTCAACAAATTCTTAATAGCTCAATTCACCAGTTTACTGAGATGCGATGACTTAATGAAGTACCTCCACCCTAAGAGAGTAGAATCGACATTGGTTTTCCTCACAAATCTTCCAGAACTATTAAATTTACAATGGTCATATTACAATTTGCCGTTGTTGAGAACATCACTTAGGAGAAAAGTCATAGGTCACAGTGTAGATAGAGCACACTTAGAAGCACTTTATAAACTACAGTATGTGTAGAAAAACCACGCATTTCGTTTGAAGGTCAGTGATATTATTAGGCTTGTGGTGGTTGGTATTCCATATAATCCTTAAAATTCGTATACAGTTCGTCTTGATAACCGTCACTAGATAACGCCCCAATGGTATATTAATCAGAAAGCGAAAACGAAGTGTTGATTGTGTTTATTATGGGACCATACACTGATATCCAAAATTACAGGTGCGTCAAACAAGCATGAAAGAGTTGTGCCGAAAGGCAAGAGAGCAAGTGAGTCAGCGAATATGAGTACGAGTAAGTGAGAGAGAGAGCAATGAACATGAATAACATGGACATATATATACATAAAGAAGTGAATGAATCATCGAATCAATTAAGCGGTTAGCAGTAAGGCTAGCAGCGTGATTAAATGCGTAGGCAGTGAGTAATGCTCAACCATACCTGTTCATACATTCGCAACAATAATAAAGATACAATGATATAGATAAGTTGTTGTTGTACGATTGACTCAGTTCGTTAATAAGTTAACAAAATGAGTTGACCGAATTAAATGTGAACAAACTCAATTGCGTGTGATTTGCTATAGGCTGATTAAACGGAAGTGTATCATGTTTCAAATATGCTGTCAGATTGTTGAAAGTCAAGTGTGTAAATTACTTAAGTACTAATCATGAGCTGCCTTTTAACGTACTAAATGTGATTTTGCTACTTTTTCCTTTCGATAACATTGATTAAAGCCAGAAAGCATAACACAGAAATGTGGCCATATTTGAGACTCCATGGTAACACATTTACGAAAGTGCACACGGTTGGACGTATTGAAAACAGAAAATATGACAGTCATCAATGTGGAGTACAATAGTTTGAACTTTTTATTTGTATATTTGAAAGCATTTTTGATACTATAAACCAACAGTTAACATATGTTCAGATCATGAAGAACTTTTGCAATAATGAATATTAAGTTCTGATGTTAACTGGATACAATATTTAATCCTAAACAACTCACCTATGATCCCAACTAATTTTAATGAACAAGTCTAATAAAATAAAGATTAATGTACGCAAAAGCAGAAACCCGCTGAATAGTTATCACACATTTTTTAATCAAATTAATTTCATCATCAACATATAATCTCTCTTTATTACCTATAACGAGTTAAGTTCTTAGAGATTACGAAGTCAAAACATATGGAAGGAAAGCGTACATTTAAATGCAGAAACTGATCATGTCAAAAAGCAATATTAAGTGAAACTAGTAGAACATCAACTTCAACAGTTGAACTACCAACATAATCAGTTGAATACACTACTTTTTAACCGTAAGTGATTAAATATTCAAGTGTAAGAAATATTTCCTACCTTAACGCAACGAAAACAATTTATTCGGTCGTCGTAAATTCTGTTGATTCGATTAAATCTTACCTTTCGCGGTTACTTTATATTCTACAATATAAATAATGCTCTAAAATCCACCGTGACGTGCGACGGTGGCTGGCATAGACTGGGAAAAGGTTTAAGAAACGTTATTAGTTGATGAGGTCATTGATTCCTAAAATGAGCAGAGTTTATATATGTAAAGCTCCTGGGCGGAATCGATGCAATCAAAGGTTTGATACTATACCTATCATAACATGATGTTTATCGAACTAATGCAGATGTATTTTGAGTTTTACTATAATTTCACACTTTTTATTTTACGATTTCATTCATTTTCGAATTATATACTCCTCACGGTCACCAACATTACTATTCTGAAAACGTTGCTCTACATATATCACTATTCTGACGTGAATTGTGGCACCTTGGACCAATACACGATTGTACCAGCTACTAGGTTGTTTATGATACTTTAAATGAACAGTCATAAACACTCCAGCATTCATCCAATAGCCCATGAACACGAGTCCCACTATAATAGATCTAAAATGTCGTTAAATAAGTGGATAACAGAAGTACTTAGTAATCGATAAATTACACGCCAGCCAAGGATTACGTAACGAAAAAAATAGCTCACGAGGTCTCAAAAATGTGAATATGTGAAATATAAATTGTCAAAATATGGAAATAATTAAATGAAGTAAAGAAACACCACAAAAAGTAACCTGGTAACTGGAATAACAGCAAAATAAAAGTAAGGTTTCTTTGTTATTCATGCATACAACTGTTTTCTACACTGAATCCCTACATCAAGTATATGTTTCAAATGGGCTTTTATATCAGATTCTTCTTCAAAAACATTTCCAGAACGCACCTTTTCCGAAATATAATTAGCCAATTTACTCAAATCGTCGAGAACATTTGAAGCCTGTAATGTTTTCAAAGCCGTGATATGTGAATTCGATTTCTCATTACTGTTGCTTTCCAATTCAGTTTTAAATTTTAATGCTTCACAAAACCAATCGATCAACTCAGGTACACATTTTCCAGGTGCTGTCACTGGCCAACCATTAATAATTTGAGCAAATAAACAGGTAGCTGCTAAAGTTGCAGTTGTTGCAACTTTTAATAAATCGTTGTTAATTTTAGCATCATATACTGATTCCTTGAGTTGCATTTCAACTTGAATGGCCAATTCATTAGCTTTAAGTCGTTCGTCTCGTTCTCGTTTATTATTATGACTATTAGATGAATGAAATACGGAAATAGTCAAACCGAGAACGTCAACTGATAAATTTTTTATTGAAGTATAAAATGCATTAAGTGATGTTAAATTATTTTGCCCAACTTTAAAGCTGTCCAAAACTTGCTGTATAGCACTGCTTATTGAAACTGCATCTGGTAAACTAGTATGTTTTAACAGTTCTAGGAGACGATGATACGATTCAATGCTTAATGATTCCGTAATATTTGATTTGACATTGTTATTTTGTGTTGAATCGGGAGAGTTTGTTTTTGAGAGATCATTTTTACTAGTTGTCGACTCAGGCCATGGAATTCCGAATTCATAGGAAATATAATCACATAGCTGCCGAAGAATAGGCATACCATAATTTTTCAGAAGATGAACTAATAATTGGTTTCTTAGGATATCACGATTTATTGAAGAGATTCCTCTCTCTAACAACTGAAATATTAAATGAAAAGTTCGGCTTTAGAGATAAAAGTAAATGTACATGATAATAATGACAACTATAAGAGATTGTTAACGGTCCCTAGTTTATATATTTTTATTAAGCACGGAGAATATTCGGTTGTGCGAAATATCTGAATTATGATTTTGTGGGAGGAATGCACTACGAAATTGCAATAAAAGGAAAAATATACTCCACTTATTACCGTTCGAACACTGTGAAGCCATAAAACTCTATGTAGTGTTATATATATATATATATATATATATATATATATATGTTCGGCCGCTGTTATATTAAGAGCTTTATCAACGAACAAATAAAACGAAGAAACCTATCAATTTTGATGACAGACTAAAGAGATACTGGATTATGCCGAGCCCTAAACGAACAACTAAAGAAAACCAGAGGTTCATAAAATACGGTTACTATGACGAAACTTTAAAACATTCATACAAAGATAATCTTTATGCTGATTTTCTCTGGGGAACTGATGGAAAGTACACAATGAATAGTGTTTCGGTTAAGCTTGGAGATTCCTGAGTTTAAAAACCTAAATCTTTGAGTAAAAATGGCAATTACGTTACAACATAATGAATTTGGAAACGCTGATAACTGTATTCCTAATATAAACACATTTTTCTCGAGACAAATATTCCTAAAGCAAGCTGTTTGAAGGGTTTGATGCAATTTACAATTAAAAGGTTCCAAACGAAAACAAAGCAGCCATCTGACCTAAAGCGATCTTTATTCAGTCAGTTGTAATCAAAAGCTTGAAAAATTTATTACCTGCAAACTGAGAACCATACTATTAACCACTTCCTGTGTTTGCAACTTTTTCTCACGATCGAAGTTAGCACCTGCATTTGGTGAAATCAGTGAACCAATATGTTTTATAAATGAGTGTTGTAAAGTAGATTCCAACATATCAGCGACCTGGTCAATCATTTCACTGGGCACATCATTTGGTAACTGTGAAGACAAAATACTTCTAACGTCGTCCATGAGAACATAACGAGCAAAAAGATCTTTAGTTAGTGACTGGGAATCACCAATGCCACTAGGAAAGTTATTTTCTGAATCAGTAGTGGTTGATGGATTGCCCGTCTTACGTTTACTTGGATTATACTTTTTCTTAACATTTTTGGTCTTAATTTCACGTGCCCCAAAACCAAATCCACCTTTGGACGATGTAACTACTTGTTTAGGTGTATTAACTTCTACGGATTGTTGTTGAGTTGGACTTGACAGGATTGCATGATGTTCATGGTGGAAAGCTGTCTGAGCCTTTTTCCTTAAATACGTGTCAAGAAAAACTTCGCAGCTTTCAATAAATTTGTCAGCAATTAAATATGTGTCAAGTAATTTCACAGGAGCATCTTTTAACAGAGGGTTCACTAGTGCCAATCTTTCATTTGAATCTAACCCACTTGGAATATAATGGGATAGGTCTATCCAAGATACGTCGCGGATTACACCTGAAATGAGAGATTTTAACTGATCAACTATTAATGTGTTAACCGTAAGACCTGGTAGATGCATAGCATTCGGAAGCTTAGTCTTTAAATATGAACCTGGATCAGGAATATTCAATCGCTTTAAATAGTTCCATTCAATATATCCATTCTGAGAGTAAAATGAATTGATGTATGTATCCTCAGCATAAGTATAACATTTTGGAACGAAGCCACTACGACCGGCAATCAGATTACCATACAATCGACCAGTACTGATAAGACTAGAGACAATACTATTAATTAAATTTTCAGGAACTTGAAGCTTTGAAGCAACTGAACTTAAAGTAACAGGACGGATAACACCTGTAAAATAACCTCGAATTTTCGCCTTAGTAGCATTAAGGAAAGTATCTGTAAAGTACTTCTCACCATATTTATGTACATGAAATAAAGTACTTTGATACTCTTGCATAATACTCGATAAGAATGTTGTAGGCAGATTAAAGATGACAGTTAGTTCACCAATACTAGTCTGGCCATGCTCTTCTAGTCGATCAAGTATTTCATGAGCTACGCGTCGAACATATGAACTGTTGACAACTTCACTGGGTATACTGATCAAACGACAAGGCGATTTGTTTTGTGCATCTAAGGTTATCAATTCAGTGACTCTTGATTCAATGATATCGAAATCCACATCAAGATTTGATGCTAGTTCTGTAAGTGTAATTCTACCAGAATGTGCTTCAACTTCATCTCGGATTTCCTTATCGAGCTCGTTCCGAGTTAAATATGATCGCCCATCAGTTGAGAAAACCAGTTTTAATCTATTCACAGACATTAAATGTTTTATAATATCGACCCATGTTCTATCAGATAGTTTACAAATATTAGGTTGATTTTGTGTTTCTTTGAGTTTGTTAGCTAGTTCTCGCACCTCATCCCAAGTTGCCATACTGTATTAAAAACCGAAAGTTAGGTAATATTTCTGGAATTTCTATAAAGAGAAAATAGATAAACTGCATAAAATCAATTGATAGAATAAGGTTTAAATCCAACATGCAACCAGTGATGTATAACTAACTTTTATATCGCGAACTGGTACAAAAACTAACGGGTAGGACTGAGCAAGACGTTGCACAGATTTTTCTATCCATGAATACCACTATAACTTGCGAGCTATATAGCACCCAAGAGGATGGCAACCTAGCCTCAGTGGAAATACAGATGGCTTGTCTGCTATTTATAGACATATTGTTAGTTACATACCTAATGAGATGTTCAACTGCTAATTAAACGGTAAGTAAATAAGCTATGTAACATTGCTCTCTACACAACACCACAGTATAAGACTGCGATAATGAAGGTGGGGGAGGTGTACAGATAGTAACCGTTCGGTCTCGGGTCAATACTTCAATGTGCCAGAACTAGGAACTAAATGATGGTTCACAATCTTCAACAACCTACTGGATTAAACCTATTAACGTCCTGTCTTCAGAGCTCTCTCTTAACCCTCTTAGAGATTGTAGATTTCTGTGCTATTTCAGTATAAGACAACATCGATCAATAAGCAAAAGAAACGAGCTTGCGCATGACCGATGAACTTAGTCGGATAATTTTAGGGTTGACAGATATGCAGGATAGTGGTACTTTTCCTTGCTGAAAAGACTTTTGTAATTCCGATCGTTTATAACCCATCAAGACTTTTCAGTTTAATTGAATTACCATCAATTAAAGCATTTGAAAAATATCGTTCTTACAAAGGGTTTATAACCTGTATTCTTTTTAAATACAGCAGCATTTTCAGTTATTGCACATTTGGATTTGGCTGTTCATGGTATGTTTTTATTTTAACCCATCTTTTTATGGTTATCGGCTTTTGGCTATATAACCTTTTCTCTTTCAATCTATTTGAAAAATCTTCGAGAGATGACTAGATAGAGTAAAGAACGTAATTGTTAACGCCCAGGTTTTCGATACCCGGTGGATAGTGAGATGCAGTGTAGTAAGCGTACCATGGAGTTTGCACTAATCAAATACCTGCAGTGTTAACAAGTTATAGTAGACCCGGATGCGTGTGGCTATGCCATCAGTGCTGCTTAGATGTAATTAGCTTGTTATCAGAAGCGATTGAAATGGCGAACGCAGCTATGAATGTTATCCAGTGTTATGCACCCACCAATGATTGCAACGAAGACGATAAAGATCAGTTTCATGAAGCTGTAATCGATCATAGCGAAGTGTTCGGGAAAGATCCTGACAGTCTTGAAGAGAGACCTAAACACCAAAGTCAGAATGGACAACATTGGGTATGAAGATATCATGGGACGACGTGGTTTACAAGAAAAAAACGAGAAATGTGAGAGATTTGCGAATTTATGTGCATTCAACGAAATGGTTATAGGTGGCATTATATTCCCACACAAACGCATACACAAACCTAAATGGGTCTCACCGGATCACATCACGGAGAACCAGATAGATCATAATAGTATCACTAAGAATTTCAGAAGGACAATGGAAGATGTGAGAACCAGGAGAGGAGCTGATATAGCTTGAGACCACCACCTGGTTGTGGCCAAGATCAAACTAAAGCTAAAAAACACTGGAAAACTGGGGAAACAGCTACACAAAGGTTAAATACTGCCTTCCTTCGACATACTGACAAAGTCGACGAATTCAAGACAGTTCTCAACAATTGGTTCCAATCATTACGAGATCTACTAAAAGAAGAAACTATTATGGAGGACAACTGGAACACACTGAAGCAAACAAGCTAGTGAACAGGAGCATTAGAGCTGACACGTAGAAATATGTGAAACACCTAGCAACGACATAGTTAAAAGCCGCAACAGAAGGAAATATAAAACAACTATACGACACAACGGCGAAACTAGCAGGGAAATATTGTAAACCAGAACGACCAGTCAAGGACAAAGAAGGCAAGTCAATCGCTAAGATTCACAAACAGAGGAACAGGTGGGTAGAGCACTTTGAAAAACTCTTAAATAAACCAACCCCACTGAATGTACCCAACATCGAAGCAACACACAGACCTTCTTATAGCTGTCACCCCAACAAAGAAAAAATCGGCATGAATATCAGATAAATTAAGAGTGGGAAAGCAGCAGGATCCGACATAGGAGTAACTGCAAAGATGCTCGAAATACTAATCAGAAAGATTTGATAAGAAGAACAAGTGTCAACAGGCTGGAAAGAAGGACACCTCATCAAGATATCAAAGAAAGATCTCATTGAGTGTGAGAACTAATGAAGCAACACACTACTATCAATACCAGAAAACGTTTTCAATAGTGTTGTTGAACCGAACGAAAAATTCAATAGACGCCCAACTTCGAGATCAACAGATCGGATTCCGTAAGGATCGGTCACATACAGAACAAAACGCGACACTAAAGATCATTAGTGAACAATCAAGTGAACGGAACTCGTCACTATACACCATCTTCCTTGATTATGGGAGTGTTTGACAGTGTGTATGGGATGGTCTTATGGAACGTTCTTCAACACAATGTAGTAAGTAGCTGAAAAGATTGTCAACACCATACGGAATTGATACGGTCGACTACACTGAAAAGTCGTGTATGGAGGACGGCTGCATTCCAAGTGAAGACCGGTGTCAGACAATGCTGCTTACTCTTCCGTTTTTTCTTTCTTCTAGTGGTTGACTGGATTATGAAAACCTTAACATCTCGGAGGAAGCAAGGAATACAATGGGCAGCTTGAATGCAAGTAGATGAATCGGACTGCTCAGATGACCTGACCCTCCTAACACTTTCTAGGGTCAAAAGAGGGTTGTAGATTAGTGTGAAGAATTATGAATACGACTGAAAACCAGAAGTTAGGGTTGGGAATTAGAGTTAGGGTTTTCATTACAAAATGACATCAGTTATAACGTCAGAATGCTATTTAACCATATAGGTAAATGAACTTCACACCAAAATTTAAGGGTTGCTATCCTTAATTTCACTGCCTCGTTGATAAATTATAACATTGCTCCATTGCCCAACAACACAATAATTTAGGAGTCGTTCGTCGAAACTTGAAAATTACTGTACACTGATGTGCAATAGCTTTTAGAAGTTTCAGAACTCTCTAATCAATAGGTCCAGCCTTTAATCACGTTTCATTTGGTCTAAATTTAATTATTCCATACGATCAGCCAGTCCCTGCTTAGAGAAATGATAAGCTGTTGAACAAGGTTTAAAGAACAGTAACTAAGGTGATCCTCGGAATCACAAAGCTTCTGTTTAACGAGTTGCTAACCTAAGCCTACTTCTGTTGTCGTAAGAGAAAACAAGAGGCGATTAGATTAATTTTTCAACTACTTAATAATAAATTTGCATCTGGAATACGTCGAGACTATGATTTATGGACGACCTTTGAACGAATCGCAAGTGACTTTGAGAAACACTAGCCAGTCAACACAGTTAGTATAGAGTAAAAGTGTATTGAACAAAACCAAAAAATTAAGGTGGATACATTTTTTCTACATGGTTGGAAAACTTGTCAAGGTTAGGAAGAGGTTCAGAGGTCCTAAAATCGTAATCCATACGGTAGAGGAAATCCTCCTTATGGCTCCATAATAGTCGACCTCTGGATCCATAAGGTCGCAAAAACTCTTTCAGTTTCGACCGCATAGCTCAATATTGTTTGTGTGCACTCTGGTTGTTGGGTCCAGAAAATGCCACCTGTAGATAACGACACGATGCACATAACCAAGTCTATGTGGGGCCTGACACATATGCAACTGCTGAAGTCTTAATACCACGTCACACAACACTAATGAGATTAACAGAAACAATCAAAGTAGTTTTACTGATGATTGTAGTAAATTTCTATGACTACTAATATGAAAATAAACGAACGAATGTGAACAAAGTCAATATTAATAATGTTCCCAATCTCTTGAATTCGCGAAGTCTTTGCGGATTGTGGGAAAACACTAAACTCTGCACTAGTCCAGGGTTTTGTTCCAAAAAGTGAAGTTTCCAATGGGAGATCCCCAGAATCGGTGAAATTTTCCTTAATCTCCCAACTTTAAAGTCGGGAGATCTGGTTACTTTGTGGTTTGATGAATAAACAGCTACAGAAATGCTAACCTGATATAAGCAGCTGACCGCCTCCCTATAACAAATAGACAGAGCTTGATTTGCAGGACGTGTTCAGGCTGCTGATCAACATTTAGAATTCATAACTTTCATTTCATTTGACCGTGCTTTTCACAACAGGCTGTTCTTACAGTGAACAACAACTTTCCGCTGTTTTTTACTTATGCTGAGTAGACTACGTATAAGGTATATAATTTTAGAAACTAACAAAATGGAAATATCTGTGCAAAAATGCAAACATACGTGTACCCAAGGTCACGTTGCCAAATGATTCATAAATTTGTCACTACACTGGTAATGCAATAAACAATAACTTTGTGATAAACTTGTGTAAAACGACTGATTAATTGGCTCTCTTTCTTCGTTGTTTGGGTACAGTTCCAAGTTTTTGATCGTTTTTAATAGGGATTGATGTGGAATATATTTTTCCGTGGACTTCTGAACACAGGTTATTCAGATTTGTGCCTTGAGAATAGAAGGAAGAGGGGTTATGTTAATTCTTTTTAACAAGTGCCTAGACTCTGGAGATGCTGTAGGTTATGGACCTTTAAGTGGCACTAAAACGTTCCTAGAAAACTGTAACAACTTACTGCGGTCGAAATAAATTTGTCAAGTAGTTTGAGGGACCGTGAACAGTAGTTAGATTTATATCTTAAGATTCAGTGTTTTTACCACTAACCGACATAATCTATAATCTCAATATATAGATTTGTGATATGGATGAATGAACTCCTGGCCAAATTCCAGGACTCACAATCTTAGATCTGATTGTTTCACCAGTATATTATATTCTCGCCACCATATATATACATATTCTTATCTATTTCTGTTGGTCTTATGTCCATACATATATCGACCCTATAGATAAACAAAAGCTTGTGAGGGGAGACGTTAAGATCATGGCATACAAAGACTCTAGGCTCATAGTCAGTTACGATTAAATGCACATGTATATTTACAGAGTTATATTTATTGCCACATGCGTCCGGCAATGAATGTAGACGTATGAGACTTATGTACACATCTCGCTATGTTATGACTCGTGATTTTTAAGATCTTTATTATACAATGAACCATACAATTAGAAAATTGAGAGCTCTGTACCCACATTTAAAACACAAACACTTAATCACTGAATAGATCAAAATGAGAATTAGAGAAGTAGGTTGACATAAATAATGAACGATAGTGAGCCTAAAGATGACTAAGTAAATAAACTGTGAAGCATTAATTTCAAGAAGGAGACATCGTAATTGAGTTGTACTTTTCATCAGCAACCAACCAAAAGGTTTGCTGTCTCCTAGATAAGTGTCAGAAAATTATCTAGTTTTCTAGATGCAAATGATGTCTATTCTCCAGCTTTTTCCTGAAGTCGGTGTAGCTTCTCATATAAGCATCGATTAAAATAAGATAGTCCTACGACCATAAACACCAAAGGGCAAACATAAATGCTTTGCCACTGTGACCCAGAAACGGAATAAAAAAAAGCATTCAGAGTTTAAAGTTAATTATTACTGCAAGTTATCATGCTGATGATAAACGTAGTAAAGAAACGGATGAATTGATGATCACCTAGTGGGTAAGAATGAAAAAGTGATCAAAAATACGACAGAAACTAATTAATAACCCTGGAGGTATGAGGCTTAACTAAATGATTCACTGAGTTTAAATGTGTTAGGAAAAAATAAATGTTTGCGTGATAAAATCTGAGGTAAGATTTAATGGAATAATGGAAATTCAGCCAGAAGTAGTGAAAGCAATTAGGTGAGAGTTTCAATCAAGTGCAGAGACAAAGTAACAAATCCAATAATATTTGGAATTTTGGTAGTTCCGTACCGTCATATTCCACACTGATGCATCTATAAATTCAAGCGTACCAATACATGATAACTATCAACAATTTTGACATAATGTGGGATAGGTTAGAAAATGACGCGGAAGCAGTACTTAGAACGTTAATACGAGCAGGAACTATAAAACACCTTTATAATACCTTTGTAATTCCACTGAATCCTAACTACACAATCCTCAAAGCTAAACACGAGACAACTGAAAAATAAATAAATATTCAACGTTTAACAAGGAAAAAAACCCAACGACGGAAATGGCGGGAAGAGTGGATCGAATTCATTTCATAGGATGACATGGCTCAGCTTCCAGGCGTGGTCATTCTTGTGTGTTGTCTTATATCTTTCATTCACATTAAATATATTGCTCTATCTCCAGCCTAAATGTGTTCGCCATAATATATTGCTGATTGTTACGATACGATGAGTCAGTGTAGACGATGACGTGGATTCCATGTAAGATCTTATATATTAGGCAGTTACACCGTAGTAAATCTACAATTTTAGGATTCGGTCTATTATATGAACAGTGCCAATAGCGAAGTACACCGTAATTCCACACTTTCTCCAACAAGAACAGTTGCCAGTTATAACAACACAGTGTAATCAGACAATGGGACACTAGGCGAATAAATCGCTAAGAACATGAATTGACCAGTGGTCAAATGGAAAGACGTTTCCCTACAAAGCAATAAACATTGTTTCAGCCATAGACAAAGTGATGGATATATTCGACTTACCCCGAAAATCAGGAAGCAACGTATAAGACGACAACTACATAAAAGCAATAGTCAAACAACCTAATTACCAGTTGACAACAATGTACATTTTCAGCAAACAGTTAATGGTTTTCAGTTCCAGACACACAGAACTAAATTAATCAGTGTACACAGGAAAAATTAAAGAATGACTGCTCAAGCGACAAAAAGCGGTATTACATAAAACAAAGATAAAGAGTAACAAAAGTACTGACGACGTCAATATTTTATTCAGTTCAAGAACCTTTAAAAAATATTATGTCGGGGTAACTTCAAACAAGCCGAAACCGATAAAAATTATGCTTGTGAATGCAAGGAGCACTAGACTTCTCGTTATATGTATAGTAAAACCAAGAATTACTGCGATATGAATTGCATTCATACGGGATTTCCACACAAACATTCACACAAGAAAGATCTTAAGTGTACGGTAATGACTTTTACGCCTAAATTTTTACATGTTGGAAATTGAAATGAGTCTGCAAAGTTATATTAGTTATATACTAATTATGGAAGAGTGGACCTGAGAATGCGAGAAAACTTCAGACACATCAAATTAGCTATGATAATAAGAAAAGGAAGAATGCTGATATCTTGAGCGAAATATCGGTTTCAAGTATGTTCGGATGTAAAATTTCTGTTAACCGATGAAATACAAGACTTAGTTGTAGAACAAGATTGTAGCCAGAAAATATTAGAATAATAATAATTTATCTTCGAATAAAAATCTAACATGAGGTATGCCAGTGTCTCACGTCCAAGTCTTTGCTCGTTCCCTTCACTGAAGTACGGTATGCCGATCTATTTGCAATTCACGAACCCAAATTAACAATAGAACCAAACTCCAATTAGATACCAAAGTTTATTCGAGATTTACAAATAGTCGACCCAAATGTCGTCCTTCAATTTTGCAGGTTCCCGGAGTAAAAACTCTCAAATACCAAACCGATGACAAAAGAAACCAAAATGTCCGAAAAGGATGATATAAACAAACGAGTTCAAAGTTTGAGTAAAACAAATACATCCAAAAACACAGTAAAATTATCGATGTACAGTAGAAAGGTTTTAACCATCCAAATGTCTTCAGTTCTCCCGTATGGACATGATCAAATAGTTACAAATGATGAAGACTTCACGTTAATAAGTTACTCAGTTAGGTTGATATGTTATGAGGCACATTGCTCATAAAAGCCGGGTGATGACAATTCTCACATGTAAATTTAAATAATATTAGTAAGACCCGGACTGTCAATAGGAGGGCCGGCACGCCTTTCGGAATTTGCGCTGAGACGTGCAACTGACGGTCAAGAATAAATCTATGTAAAACTGAGAGCTTATATCCTACTAATTTTTCTGAGGCATCGATGATGGCACAGAACGAAGCCACATGTTTTCGGCGGCATATACGGGGGCGCTGAGAAGGATAGTAAAAATAGAAAGGACAACAAGTAGAGCAAATAACTATGATAAGTGTTAAAGTTGAGTTGTAGCGGCATTGGACCATAACCACACAATCCTCAAAGCTGAATACGAGATTACTCGGAAAATAGATATTCAATATTTAACGCGGAGAAATACCTAACGATAGAGCAGGCGCGAACAAGGAATTGAATGAATTGGAGTTGATCGAGTGGCATGGCTCGGCCATGCAGGCGTGGTCTCTGCTAACTATTACCTTATATCTTTTATTTATATTAAATATATTGTTCTTTCTCTAGCCTAAGCTTGTTCTTCATCATGTATTGGTAGTTGTTACGATACTGTGAGTTGGTGTAGTCGATGATGTGACTTCCACGTAAGATCTTATAGATTAGGCAGTTATATCATGACAAATCTACAATTTTAGGATTAGGTCTATTGTTAGAGCAGTACTAATATCATAGTAGACCATAATTCTACAGAGTCACTTGCAATGGAATAATGAGGGTATGAATACTTAGACTTGTCTTCTTTCATTAAGTCAACGTTTAGGCGAGAGCATCCTAATAGGTTGAAGAAAACAAGCTCAAGTACGAGAACCAGTGGACAAAGAAGTGTATAAATGGAGGTGGTTCAAAAAGGAACTAAAAGTTTAAGATAATCTGTAGTTTCAGAATCTTGTGAGGAATACACTATTCGGACACACAAGTGGCCCTCTCACATTTTAGTTTTTGTTTTCATTAAAGCCATTTCAGTTCATTTTTATTATTATAAATTTTTTAGGGTCATGAGTGGACTTCATTTTAGAGTAATTGTCTAGAGTTACTTGCAACAGGATTTCTTGAAAGGATGTGAAACCACTTCACGGTTATAAACATGGATCGAGGAGCCACTTTTCGTAATAAATCGGCATTAATAGCAATTGTCCGTGATATCCCAGTCGGCTCTAAGGAGCCGTAATTTAACGAAATATCCCGCCATACAAACGTGTGTGAATTGAAGTTATCTCCCCATATATATATTGAAATCGTAAGGTTGACCATCACGTAATAATAATAATATATTTCCGCAATGGCAGGTACACGTCATTTTTACAGGCACGATCTATAAATTACAACATGTATTGTTTTACTGTATGCATGTTAAATAAATATAGTCTATAAAAGTGAATATCAGTTCGTTCCTTCAGATATACTGATTAATCTTCAAATTATTCTCCAAAGTGGTATCGCGTCCACGTTACACACGAGATCCAATCTCCACATT